GTGTTTAACTGAAAGCAAAATTCAGGTTACAGATAAGATAAAATATTTGAAACTGAAGGTCCTTCTAAGTATATACACATTCACAGTAAAGTACTAAATAATATTCTTCTGAAAAACAAATGAAACTAGCAAGAAGCTAGATCTATCTCAAATAGTAAATATATTACAGCCATCATCAAAATAGCCCAGTCTAAACCTTAGTGATCCAGTGGAATATCTGAAGCACATGTGGTTGAGTTAATTAGTAAAGACAGTATAACAGAAATACTAGTATGCATTCTCTTAAAGGGGAAAAGCTTCTATATACTCTCTTTGAACTATTATCCCTCCCCCTCAAAAAATAAATATTTTTAGGAGCTTCCAAGGGTTGAAAACAAGGTCAGAAGATAAGAACTACAAAAGAAATGTATTAAGCCACAAAGTGAAACCTTTTGAAACTTTTTCACTATCAATTACACAGTCTGTGTTGTCAATGGGTAACTTCCCTCACAATGTAGATTTGGGATTCCAGGAGTGTCTCTACTGTTGTTAGTAAGAAAGCCTCATATGTGCACCAACTCTGCTGTTATTAATGCATAAATAAGCATTTTCAGGTTGCAGGGAAATGTAATAATATCAAATTGCCTAAATTCAAAGAAAAAGCTTTCTCGATACTGACATTATGATGGCCCTCTCCTTTTTCACCAGCTATTGCATACCTTCAAAGGTCAAATCATTTAGGAAGTAAGAAATTCACCTGTATCTCTTCAAAAAACATGGCAAAGGACTTGTATGCATGCATATAAGCATAACCAATGGACACAGACACTAGGGAGGTGAGGGCATGTGCTGCGAGGGGGGTGGGAGTGGCCAGGGAGAGGTCAAGGGGGTGCGGGGGAGACATATGTAATACTTTAATCAATAAAGAGTAGGGAAAAAAGAAAAAAGAAAAAGAAACCTGCCAAAAAAAAAAATCCTTAAAGCAAAGATCAGCAAATCCATTTTTTTTAAATGTCCTTACTATCAATTTGTCAAGGATGTCTGAAAAAAAGAGTGATTTGTGATCAAAAGTTCTCTCCACAGAAAATATACACATTCCCACTATGTTTCCTGACTGACAGAAATAGCCAATTTTAATATGCTTAATTATTTATGGTTTGACCTTTACTTTCCACAGAAATTCAAAGAGCAGCTTTCCTTATAAACTCAAGATAATGACCATACTATGTTTTTACTATAAATCAACTTTTTAAAATTAAAGATGTACTGGCTACCATTTTTATTTCTTGTTGAATAATGAGATGAGAGAAGAAAATAAAAAATAGAATTTCAATATACCAGAAAATCTCTTTAATTTCATCTCTTCAACAGTATGTATGCAGTTCCTCCTATGAGCAGGAATATGAAGGAGGAGAGTTAGAAAAAAAATAATAAAATAAGGAATTCAGTATAAGGCAAGTTTTTTATTAAGGGGGCCAAAGAATTTGCCTCAGAAGGCAAAATTCTTAATAAGAGGACATTAAAATGCAAAAGTATGTCTCCAAGGGCAAAATTAGTTGCTACAAAGAGTGTGTCTAACAGCTAGGAGAATAACAAACAAAGGAATGGTTGCTGTCAAATTAGGAAGCAGACAGATTGTTATTCTGGGAAAGATTTTGGAGCAAGTTAAATTAAGCCTCAATTGTCCATTCACTACTTAGAATGTGTCTGTCAGTCACTGTGCAGGGCACCACAAACACACACAAAAATGAAATACCTGAATCCTGCCTCAGAGCACAGTAGAGGAGACAGTCCCCTGATTCCAAGTGATGACAGTGGTAACAGTGTCGTCAAGTTACAAGACCTGGTACCCCTTATAATCTCTTCGGACATAAAAATTAAATCCAGTCATAACTCAATTACCCCTTAGAGGATTTTTATATGAGCAGGTTCTTTGCGATCTTTACCAACCACATTAAAGAGCAATCTGGCACCATTTTTGGAACAAGATGTTTTACAGCGATTTTGCAAGTATAAATATCCTATTTGGTGCAATAACATAAACTTTGTCTTCTGAGGAAAGTGCATATCAGTTTTGGTGATATTTACATAAAAACAATTTCTTAGTTTCAAATCTTTCCCATGGAAAATTAAGACAAACATTAAATATCTGATTGTTTGGTGACTTCACTAAGGGCTCCTAGACGAAATAATGACAAGTGGGAGATGTTCTCAAAAGTTAGAAACTGAGCTGAGAGGTGGGAGAGGAACAGAATTTCCATAAAGAGAAGGCCACCCCCGGCATAGCAGCCATACAGAGCTTGCAGGCCACAGAGGTAGAAAAGCACATAGGGCTTCCAAACCTGCAGTGAGTCCCAAGTGACTGAGCTGGCTGCTGGGCCTTAGGGCCAGAAAAATGTCTGAGGACCATGGGAGGTCTAATAGGAAGCCACTGGGGGGTTGGGCTGTAAAGAAGTTTATTTATGTACTGTTTCCTCCTCAGCATTAAGAAAAATTTTAAAAAACAGCTAATTTTTTATGATTTTCTTCACATTTATTTTGCCCCCGGCCTTGCTATCCCATTGGGTCTGAGTGGAGCTGAGGACAGAAAGCATATCAGATACTCATACTTCATTGTTTGGAATTGTTTTGAAATTCATCTTTGTGAGGGCAAAAGAAGCACGTCTCTAAGTATTTCTATGTTGGCTATTGACTTGTAGATCTAATTTCAGTGCTTAAATAGGGCAATCTTTATTAGTCAGAAAAGACTAATGCATAATCTGGGATAAAGACTGCATTTATTAGCAAGCATTTGGCTAAATCAGCCTGATAGTTGCTATTGGCCAGACAAGTGCTTATGAATTGTGGCATTGCTTTTGGCAAAACTATTTATCTGCGTGACACGATATATCACTTTTGAACTTCAACTTGACATCCATAAAATTACATTTTCATCAAACTGAAAGATCAGGCTTCCTGTGCTGACTCACTTGGGTCAACATTTTGCAAATGCCTGGATTTACCACTTGAACCATAAACCCTTTGTGAATAATTCTGTGCATGAAGTTTGATAGCCCAGGGCACAGATCATAATTTCTGAACAGAAGAGGTGTCAAAGCAAAAATGCATCTTTTTTATGCAAACAAATGACTTACTCCAAAGTGTAACCTCATCATGTCATTTTTAAATCACTGAATAAATACAAACTTTGTTGAATCCCAAAAAGAGAGTAAATAGCATCGTTGGTGGTTCCTTTTATTTCACGGGGTTAGAAGGCGTATGACCTCCCTGCTGGAGAACATTCACTAGTGTGACAGGCATGTGCCACAACTTGCAGTGGTTCCCTTCTTTAGGTTGGCCCTAATTTAATGTGTTTTTTTAATGTAAGCAATGAGGTAGAAATTTCAGAACTGAACAAAGACATAGAGATGAGTCAACAGTTATGCTGGCCTTAATTTTGTACTCAAAATAACCCTACATAGCATCCTAGTGTTTTTGCTCTTGTCTGAGCCCTGTATGTGAGGTGGATTCTCTTTTCATATGAACAAGCATATTTGGATCTCTCACTCTGATAAGTAAATACAGAGGTTTTGGCTCCTAGGCAGGAAATGACCTGGTACCCCTTATAATCTCTTCGGACATAAAAATTAAATCCAGTCATAACTCAATTACCCCTTAGAGGATTTTTATATGAGCAGGTTCTTTGCAATCTTTACCAACCACATTAAAGAGCAATCTGGCACCATTTTTGGAACAAGATGTTTTACAGCGATTTTGCAAGTATAAATATCCTATTTGGTGCAATAACATAAACTTTGTCTTCTGAGGAAAGTGCATATCAGTTTTGGTGATATTTACATAAAAACAATTTCTTAGTTTCAAATCTTTCCCATGGAAAATTAAGACAAACATTAAATATCTGATTGTTTTGGTGACTTCACTAAGGGCTCCTAGACGAAATGATGACAGTTCTCATTGCAGGTGGAAAGACTGAAGACAACTCTGGGAAATGATCTGCCCCAGGAAGCACCTCAAATTGGAATGTTATTGACAAAATTGGTTGTTTTTGTTTTTGTTTTTTAAATATATTTTATTGATTTTTTACAGAGAGGAAGGGAGAGAGACAGAGAGCTAGAAACATCGATGAGAGAGAAACATCGATCAGCCGCCTCCTGCACACCCCCTACTGGGGATGTGCCCGCAACCCAGGTACATGCCCTTGACCGGAATCGAACCTGGGACCCTTCAGTCCTCATGCCGACGCTCTATCCACTGAGCCAAACCGGTTTTGGCAACAAAATTGACTGGGATAACTACAAAGGTCAAAGAGAATGTGCTAGGGTTTTAGCAATATCTGCAAGAACCATTCAGGTCTGAATGAGATGATGTTAAGTTCTTGGGGGAAGGTTGAATCTAGTGTTAGATATTCAGCACTTACAAGAATCTCTCATTGGCAAGACTTATCATAAGCCAGTGTTGGTGATATTAGTATAGACCTTGCAAACTCTCCATTGATAAAAGAAAGACCAAGCTTCTAAGTCAGGCAACTGAGAAAAAGATATATTACTTATGATAATTTCTGTTGCAACTAAGAGAAAATTCAGTTTGCCCTGGATTAAATAGCAAAGTGATTTATTAGCTCAGTTACCTAAAAAGACCATAGATAAAGAGAGCTTTAGGTCAGGCTTGAGAAACCACCCAACTATGGGAGAAAATACATAATTTCTTCCAGGCACCAGCTCTTTCATAGTCATAAGTACCTCCCAAGGCTACATGCTGCTTCCTTATCCAAGCTCATAGGCAAAGGGCAGCCTTCTAGGTACCTCCCACAGAAACTCAGGAAAGCTCCCTTTCCAGGAAATTCCAGAAACATCTCCTTACCTCTCATTGTTGTTAACCCTGTGCCTATCCCTGAACTAATCAATGTGACAAGTAACCAAGGCAGATAACATACCAAGTCATAGACTTTAAGTCTAAGACTAGGAATATTTTTCTTCTAATGACAGTCCTTGATTTAATCTCTTCACCATAAAAGATTCAAGATGACCAACGAGGACCCTCTTCCCAAAAAGGTCCGACTGAGTGAGACAGACTTCAAACTTATGGCACGAGATGAGCTAATTGTAAGATGGAAACAGTATGAAGCATATGTGCGAACTTTGGAGGGCAGGTACACAGATCTGAACTCCAATGATGTAACTGGCTTACAGGAGTCAGAAGAAAAACTAAAGCAACAACAGCAAGAGTCTGCACGAAGGGGAAATATCCTCGTAATGCGACTAGCAACCAAGGAGTAAGAGGTGTAAGAGTGTGCCACTCAAATCCAGTACCTCAGGCAAGTCCAGCAGCCCAGTGTCGCCCAACTGAGATCAACAATGGTAGACCCCGCCATCAACTTGTTTTTCCTAAAAATGAAAGGCGAACGGGAGCAGACTACAGACAAACTGGAACAAGCCCAAAATGAACTGAGTGCCTGGAAGTTTACGCCTGACAGGTAAACAAATCATACTCCCCAGTCAAGACTTCCCTGACAGTCCCACTACGAGAAAGCTGTGGTGGGACAGCCAAGTACTCCTTTCCACACCAAGACTCAGACTTTTTGAGCCAAAAAATCCACATTCTTATACTATCCAGCTTGTAATGGTTAATGTAAAACTTAACCAGATAAACCTTGTATTTCAGCTTTTTCCTCTTCCCCCACCCCTTGCTTCAGAGGCCTAACGTTAGGGACTATTCTGAAGAAGTGGCCACCTCCGAAAAATTCCCCTTCCAGGACATGTAGACACTTGAGAAATGTTTCTGTTTGAAAAAAATAGAGGGAGAAACAGACATCAAGTCTGTGGCACTCTGTGTCTTCAGACAGTTTGGAGGAATGAAGACCTAGAGATTTAAAATCATGAATTGAACATGTAAAATTCCAGTAAAATGTAAAAATGGAATATGTATACCTTGAGTATAGTGACTTAGAGACACTGTATATCAGTTTTGCTTTTAAGACTGTGGACTTCATGATTGTTGTTGAACTTCTTGATCAAAACTTAAATGGGGTGAATTTTGCATTTCAAGGGTTTATTTGCTAAGAAACTATTTAATAGCTATCAGTACAGTAGTTCATATATTTAACCATTTCATTTGGGGCTCTCTATTACTTGACTGAGCCTTAAATCAATGTGGTTTGAAGCAATGGTTTGTTCTTTAAATGGTTGCTAATACTGTAGATACTCTTACTGAGGACTGTACAAACATGTAAGTGTGGTATCAAACTTCAGGTTTAAATTGTTTGAAGCATTATAAACATGCATTTCACAACCAGATTGTATAAGGATATTGGCTGTGATGAGATTCACTGAGTTATTTTTCAGTAATGAAATTTATTAAATCCCCATTTCGTTCAACAGGCACATGTTGAAAGAGCATTGTCATTGGTGTTAATTGGGGAATGTGTTCCTTCATTGTATGTTGGGCCTTTTGTATCGCACTCTTGATATTAAATTAAATGTCCCTTAAACAAAAAAAAAAGATTGTCACATGTTTTCCAATATTCCTTAAAGGGGCGGCACCACCACTAGTTGAGAAACTTTGATTTTTCAGGATGTACAATTTTATACTATAGCCAGGGAAACAAAATATACCCAAAAAATCTGACAATCAGGGAACAGTAAGCATAGGCTGAGAAATGATCCACAGCGGCACCTGGCACATTGCCTGGCATAGAGAGGTGTGCCATAAATGTTAAATGAATGAATGGATGGATAAATGAAGATGGCACTTGACTGAATTTTATATAATGGAATAGTAGTACATAGAATCCTGATGGAGAGTTTAAAGAACAGTAAATACTAATAGTCCTATTGGGCCAGAGTGTAGGGATTCTGAACAGAAGGAGGGTCTTGTTGGAAGAAGGCCTGAAGTCTCAGGTGGGAGTTTGATTCTCCCAGTCCGCTACCTAACATGTGACTGTGGACAAGATAATCACTTTACTGCATTTTACCTTTTTTTTAATCTGTGCAATGAGGGTGCCTGCCTTATGTAGTGGTTGTGAGGATGGACGGTCAGAAAACGTAACATGGTGCCTGGTGTATAGTTGACTAACAATAAATGGTCAGTATTACTAATGCTGTTCTTATTGTGTCACGATAGCAAGTTAGATTTAAACTTAAAGTGTTTGAGTGGGAGCCAGTGAGATGAGGAATGAAACATGTGCAGTGTGGTGTGAACAGACAGGAATCAAGGTACAGAAAAGGCTGAAGCAGAGACCAGTTAATGCTGAGCCAAGTTTCAGCACTTTTCACTTAAATAATATGATGCCATTCCAAGTTTTCTTAGTTCCCAGGCCATATGTTTTTAAAGTCCTTACAATAAGATATTGTAACATCGTGACATTAATAATATTTCCAAATCAATTTGTGATCGTAGGTCTTATTTACCTTCTTATATTTATAAAATTTTCTAATTCTTTATTATCAGTCTTTTTAATGTTTTATTTCAATCGGTTTCATATAGATATTTTTGAAAATAAAAAGATCTACAATTAAGTCAATATTGAAACCTGGGAACTCCTTAATAAAATCTTCTGGCCGGAGAGGGTTGGGGGGCAGGAGGGAGGGGGGTAAGAGATCAACCGAAGGACTTGTATGCATGCATATAAGTATAACCAATGGACATAAGACACTGGGGGGTAGGGGAGGCCAGGGGATTGTCAAAGGCGGGGGGGGGGGGGGAAGGACACATATGTAATACCCTTTGTAATACTTTTAGCAATAAAAAAAAGGAAAAAAAATCTTCTAATCATTAGTTGCTATTCAATGAATAGCGTAAGTGGACTGAACAAATTTTGCCACTAATGCCTGTCTCACATGACCAGCAGCCCACAGGGAGCCTGTGAGAGTGACCAGATGGTTTCTGCAAGAAGCTGATGTACCTTCTGGGACAAATGGATGGCACCCAAGGAAGCAAAAGGAGAGGAGAGGACCAGAGCTTGGTTCCCAGGCTCTGGAGTTCAGTTACTTTCTCCGTCACTTTTCACATCATGACCCATTAGAGAATTTCTTCCACTATTAGGTAATTATTTGAACTGGTTAAAATAAAAAGCCACTTATGTAAGGCAAGTTTCTAAGGCATTACTTCAAGTTTCCTTCAAGTTTATCATGCTACTTTGCATATGATTTGCAATAAATATTTGTTGACATCATGTGTTATGCAAAATATAAGACAACCAAAATAACATACAGTGATGTGACAGCTATAGGACGGCTGTATTCAACACTGTAATGTAATTATGCTCCCACATCACAATAGTTACAAGTGTATTGTACAAAACTGGAGGCAAATTATCAACAATGGTGATTTTACATTTAAATGTCTACATAGCTTAATTTGTACCTCAGCTTATAATGTAGCAAAAAAAGAAGAAGAAAAAAAGCACACACACAACTGTTTGAAGAGTGTTTAAATTCCATCAAAATGTTGATATAAAAAAGTGTAGGTTTTTTAATTGTATGTGCATAGACACAGCCCTACAGTGGAATTTCATGCTTGCTGGAAACTGGAATATGTTCTTACACTTCAGCTGTAATTTGATCTAATTTGTCAAAAGATTTTGCACCTGCTCTGAATAATTGAAGATAACTAGCCAACATGAAGTTAACATTCGTAGCTTTTTGAGACATTATTCCAGCAAAGGACTTTTTTATCATCGCACCCAGGGAAATGCATACATGAAGGGAGAAAATGCCCCATGCTTCCTGGTCTGAGCTGTTGGTTTCTCCCTCTAGGACTTAATCACACCAATAAAAATCTACCTTTTATTGAGCCCTTACCATGGACCAGGTTCTTTCCACACTTTGTCTCTTTTGGTCCTTTCCCCAGTGATCCTTTGCAGGTGATGAAACCACACCTCAGAAGGAATAAGTGCCCTGCCTAAGGTCACCCAACTTACAAGTGGAAGAGCCAAGATTTAATCCCTAACCCGTTTTACTCCAAAGCCCTCACTCCTGACAATGCTCTCTGGCTTCAACTCACATGAACCCAGAGCCATTCTGAGAAAAAAATGGCCCAATCAGCAATCAGGCCATTTGGAGTGGTGCTGCGTATCTTTCAGGCCATCTTAGGAATGCTGTATGTCTTTTATCAATGTTCGTGTCGAGTAAAAACCATGTCTTGGAGACAAAGACCAAATAATTATAGCATGCACTTGACGTAGTACAACTTACATCAGGCACTGTCTAAATATAATACATATTTATTTTTAATCCTCAAAACCCTGCTAGTTAGTATTACTGCCAGCCCTATTTTATAGATAATAATTTGTGACATAAAGAAATTAATTGCCTAAGGGACATGACTGGCAAGTAGAAACACTGAGATGAGATTCAAAGGCAAACAGGCTGGTGCCAAAGGCCAGGGCACCCAGCACCACCCTCCATCAGCCATAATGTAGTCACATGCCTACAGTGCAGCTCTCTTCACATTCCGCTGTCTCTGCGTAAAGCAATGACCAAGGCTTTCGGAACCAACTCTACTATTTGAGGTTCGGAAATAACACACTTCTTTGCAAAGTGTTTGGGAATATAAATTATTCAGTTCAATAAATAGATATTCTGTTTGTATGCTCAGGTACTTTTTGTATAAAACACTCTGGACTTGTATTTTCTTTGCTAAGACCTAACGGGGAAATAAAGAGGAGAGAAAACCTGATATTGAGAAAAATGTTTTGACCATAATAAAATGGCTTTTTAAAGATGTAGAGACTCCAAGAGCTTTGTTTTAGTCAGGTAATATCTAACCGGCTATAGGAAGATTAACACATGTAAGACAATGCATTTGAATTGCAGAGAATTAGTATTTAATTTGATGTCCATGGTACATTCTCAGGCACATGACAAGGTGATTTTAAAAAACAAACTAAGGAGATAGCACTCGATTGCTGTGAACCACCTCTAGGGCCAGATTTACAAGAGTTAATCAGTAAATTAATTCAAACACCTGTATTAACCCTTTTTCTAATATAATCTCATAACCTTTGGCCCCATAAAAATGAAACTCGTACAAATCAGTTAAGCCACTGCACATGGACTACCTCAGGCAGAAAAATAAAGGAAATATCTCATCCAACAATGATCCAGTACAAAAGAGAGAGGCTGGAGGCTGGGAGAGGAGCTGTTTCACTGAATGCTCCCTCTCTCCTGATTTAATTGTACTGCACTGAATTGACTAATAAGACCAAAATGAGAAAAACCCATCCAATTATGAAGAATTGGGTGTATCCATTGCCCTTCATACACCACAGGCTTGATTCACTTTGGAAAGCAATGTAAATCCAAGAACTTCAAATATTTAAGTAGACTCTTCTCCCTGGGAGGGAAATGGTCTTGCCATACGGCCAAAATCATCCTGCAGTACTAGAAAGGGTGCACAGTGCAGAAAACTGGGACTCCAGGAACTAAAAGGAGGCCCAAAAGAATCCAAAGAAATAATTGTCATTTACTGAGTACTTACTATGTGTGAAGCATGTGATAAACATTAGGGGCAATGTAACATATGGGGAGAGACACAGAATTAATAATCGGACAACCTG